ACTTTTATCCCTCATTGCAAATTGCAGTGTGCAGTGATCAGAGATGCTAAAACCATCATTTTTAGTAAGTCTCTAGAAAGCGGGCATTTTAGCCCAGCGGATGGCAGAACGTGGGGCAGGAGACAGACTCCCAACATGTGCAGGCAGCTTTTTTTAAACTTAAACCACCATAGTATTCTGCTGCAGTGCAAAACCCAAATGCTTCATTTTTAAAGAGGCACATATGTACTTTTACACCCTTTAAAACAGAGTTATCAAGGCGTGCCTGCACTGAAATAACCAGGGGATGAACATGGCTCTGCAGCCACTATCCAGTTTCAAGATTTGTTATTGCCCACACGTGTGTCCCACTCCTGGTGGGCCAGACTGAGGATTGCAAGGAGCGGTGGCAAGCCTGTGCGTTGGACAATCTTGCTTTCAACAGCTTGCCCTAAACACAAAAGGGTGCGAGCAGCTTTGTGTTTTGAGTTGCATGTAATCAAGGAATTACAGGATGCTCTGCTGAAATACCCATGTGTTTCCGAGAGTTGGACCTGTGTCTTTGAGGGGTGGTGTTTGCTGCCAGTGATGCTAAAACTGGGACCAGGCCAATTGGTCTCAGGACTTACCTGAACCACACCTCATGTACATCTGTTTCTGAAATCCAAGCGGGCGGTGACTTGTGTGTCAGCCCCTCAGCAGCTGCCTGTCTGGCCTTCAGAAGTACATTTAGGAGAACTGGCAGAAATTTCTTGTGTCCTAATGGGGAAATTTCTGATTTGCCAAGGAGGTGCTGCCTGACTTCTACCACAGTCCCCATCAGCGGGATCAGACATGCTCTTCTGTAATCAGAGTTTAATGGCTTGTAGTTTGTGAGCTGAGCTCTGGTAATTGACTGACTAGAGCCGTTATCTCCCTGCAAATAAAAGGGAAAACCCCTTCCCCCAAAACTTGGCTAAAGGAAGTTTTATTTGGCATGCGTTAGCCCACACTTGCAAAGCTGAAGGCTGTATATGAAAGCAGTTGGTTAGCGCAGATCACTTGAAGGCTTGTCAACAGGTATGTTAGGATTAATGGAGTTGTATGAACTCTGTGATAGAAACATCTATAGGCAAACTTCCTTAGATCCACATCTGCAAATCAGAAACCCTTCCACCCTGTTTGGGGTTTGTTATCTTTAGCAATCACCATGAAAGGTGGAACAGCTGTGAGAGCTATTAGTCAAGCCCATGTATAATGATTGCAAAAAAAGGTAGGGTGTTTAGGCAGATGATATACAGAACAGATCTGCAAGAGAAAGATTAAATTCATGTTCCTCTGAGCTCTTAGGTGCAGGCAGGCGTTGCAAAGAAAGGCACGAGTGAGATCCTCAGGCCCACTGAGGTTGGTGTTCATGGGAATGTCTTCCAGATTGCCATTGCAGTGCCCGTCAGAGGAGGGACTGGAAGGAGCAGGAGTGGAGAACAACAGCTTTCTCCTACAGAGGGAAGTTGTCTACAAAGGTGTCCCTGGAAGCTCCACTATGTATTTCAGTGGTTTCCAAGAAAAAAGTAACGTCCTTCTTGAGGAGAACAGTAACAACTTCAGCTGTTTGTGAGGCACTTGGTGCCAGGCTGGTCCTCAGCCTGGAGGACCCTGCAGAGACGTCGGAGCAGAGCGTGTGGGGGATGTCAGTGCCAGGTGCATCAGTGCCTTGGGTCTGGCAGAGGTGCAGCTCCTCCTGCCAGCAGTCATTCTGGGTTTGGTGACCAGCCGGTCTTGAGATCGATGACAAATCTTGTCTGGCCTCTAGCTTGAGAGGGGCAAGAAGCATCCAAGTGCTAATGGAGCATCTCCAAATGCCCTGGTCCTGGGGAGGGACAGCTCTCCTGCCGTCATGGGGCTGCAATTCATTCCCCCAAAGGTTTGCTGGTCCTGTCTTAGCTGTTCCCCCTGACTCAGGGGCCAGGACGAGGGGTGAGCTGCTGCCGGGGACTTTGCAGATCTGCAGAATGTCAGCAGAGAGAGGCATAGCCTGGTGAGGTGGTTTGTTCCTTCCCTGGCTCTGGTGAGGACTGCGAGGATTATTTGGGGGTAAAAAAAGCTTTCCTTGCTTTCAGCTTTGTGTAGGAACACAGTCACTTTATCAACCACTTGGCACGTGTACTTCAGCGAGGCAGAGGAGGCATGTGGAGTCTCCATAATTAATATCAACGACTTTCTCAGAGGAGGGGATAAAACCTGAGTCCTGGAAACTTAGATTCCCTTCTGGTGCTGAGGGAAGGGGAATAAGGGAGGTATTATTAGAAAGCATTTCTTTTATTTAACAGATGTTAAATAGCACTATACCACTATATCAATCTGTCAATTACACTAATAGGAAACAGTGTATAGAAGAGTTAAGAGATGTGAATTGTGTGGGGAAAAAACGCCCCCCCCCCATTTCTGCAGGGTTTGGGGCCAGGCACAGCCCCAGCAGACGGTGTGGAGCACAGGGAGCAGCCACATATATGCCAGGCACGTGGGGATGGGAAGGGGAAGGAATAGCCATGGACCATCCCAGACAGAACTTGTTGCAGCTGGACAGGTTCTGTCCCACACTGTCCTGGTGGTTGTGCTTGATACCAGATTAAAAATAGCCTTCAAAGCAGAGACCATCTTTGGGTTTTTTAGAACGTATACGTATCATGCTATAGCTTTCTATATAGTGGTGTTAATCAGCATTTTCAGAACCTAGGTGGATTAGAGTCTGGTGGGGGAAAAACGAACCTCTAATGGGTGACTGAAGGTTGCAAAGCAAGCTTGGCTTTGCCGTAGCATGCGCTGGTCCCAAGTCAGAGCCAGCGCCACAACAAGAGGGGCCAGTGGTGTTTTTTTCTTGGCCACTCTGTTGCTTCCTTAAACTTCTCCTGGTGATCCCCAAGCCCTGCAGCCAGCCGAGTTTGGTATGGTTTTATTAACATAGCTGCATGGAGCCCAAGGTTAAGTGATGGGAATTTCCAAACAAAACAATAAATTAATAAAATGAACGTGTCACCAGCTGATCCTCTTCTGACCACCATCTGTCCCCGGATCATGTGATGTCTCCCAGCTGGCCACCCAAGAGACAAACCATCCAAGATCATCATCACAACATATGCTGCTATTTACACATTTTTAAAGGTAATAGTTGCTAGGCTGTCATGTTAGTAGTTAGAAGTAGTTATTTGGAAGCTAGAGGATTTTTTTCTTTCTGTCTTTTTTTTTTCTTTTTTTTTTTTTGAGGAAGCCGGTGACTCAGCAGGTATATTTCTGACAGAGACATGTTCAGGGTTTGGAGCAGTGGAAGTTCCTATGTACAGTATATGTGATTTCCCCCCCCCCCCTTATTCTATGGGATGCTGTTGTCTTTTGTGATAAACAAGAGAATAAATAAAATAGAAAGAAGGCAACAATACTACAAATTTTACTCATGTACCTTTTAGGAACCTTATGTGCTCTCCTTGCCATCTCCAGGATGCAAACCAAGCTGTGCATTTTTAAACTATTGTTAAGATCAAGGATGTGGTTATGAGAAGACTTACAATTTATAGGATACTTAAGCATTAAGGATTGAGGCACAGAACATTTCCTGGGGATTAACGACTGACTGGGTGAGCCTCAGGCCATTAACCCCTGCCTGTCATTAATTTTCAGGAAATGCCCTGCAGTGAGGTCGTTACTGCTGCTATATGCTGAAATAGAAAATAATAATAATAAAGGTCCGCGGTTTATTTATTTATATTTTACATAACGCGGTTATCTTGGGACTGTAGGAAATGAACATCTTTCTCTGTAGCTGGGCGTGCTGCTCGAATTCAGGCAGTTCCTGCCTCTCGCCGTTCTGTGAAAGGTTCTCGTCAGCTTGCACGAGGGGAAGCGCGGGCAGAATGTGGCCCACTGCTTGTGTTGCACAATATTTAATACGGTTAATGAGTGGCGCTTCTCCGGTACAACTGCTGGCAGAATTTAGCCCTATATAGGAACCAGCTCAAAAATGCTTGTTTTACAGCAAAGCAATTTATTCACAGTTCTAAGCATCTCGCAGCCTTTTTTTAACTCATTGAATAATCCTTTTAGGTTCCCCATAAAGCAGGTGAAATGCTTCTGCTGCAGTCCTAAGGCAGAACACAGGCTGCATAAATAGCATCTAAATTACCAGGAATACAAAATACATATACAGTAATACATACCTACAAAGGCAAATTCATACTGACAGGACTGCAGTGTGTGCTTATCAGCAGCAAAACATCTCGGGGAAGAAAAAAAAAAAAAGTGGCTTTATATTGCAATTGTATATACATTTCTCTCTATCTTTAAACACTTAAATGCTATTTTTTGCACGTTCTTAAACCCAGATGCAGGCTCCTTTTTTAATGAGCCTGCCTGCTTAAACATTTATTAGCTTAGAGATGTATAGTTTTCATAAAGCTGGCTGAAGCTTTTTGCGGAATATCTTTGCAAAAAAAAAAAAGCTTTTTTTTTTTTTTTGTGTACACGGCCTCAGTCCTTGCAACCTCCTAGAGAGTCTGTCAAGGCGCAACTTAAAAGCTCGTTCAGGCGACCATGACCCCCTGCTAGCAGATTGTCTGCCTAAAAGGTAAGGGAAAGCTAAAAAAGAAGTAGAAACTTAAAAGTAGCTTCTCAAAGGCTGCATAGATCTTTTTTTTTTTTTGTTAAACCTAAAGTGTTTAAAAGCTTTAATATTGATGGCCTGTCAACTTTGTCCTGATTCTTTGGCTTTCAGTTAAAAGGTTTTTGTTGTTGTAGCTTATGCAGTTGCTCTGTTGCTATGGAAACGTGACATCAAAATGACGTTTCTCTGTTTAAAAGCTTTTAACTAAATTCCTGCCTGTCAGATGTAGGCCCCATTTTGTGCACTCAAGCTTCAAGCTGTTGCAAAAAGGTTTCATATGTTCTGTTGTCATTCAAATTCTTTATCCACATATGCATGTCTTGCACTACAAAAAACCTAAACTAAAAACTCAATCTATATTAAGTGTCCTCTTTTAAAACCCTTTTAGGTCAGTCAGCAATGGCTGCAGCAGAAATTCCCAGTTACATTGTCTCTTCTCAGACTGAGAAACACAGGAGGGCCAGAAACTGGACTGATGCAGAAATGAGAGGTTTAATGCTGGTTTGGGAAGAATTTTTTGATGAGCTGAAACAAACTAAAAGGAATGCCAAAGTTTATGAGAAAATGGCTAACAAACTCTTTGAAATGACTGGAGAAATTCGCCACGGAGAGGAAATAAAGATAAAAATTACAAATATGACATTCCAGTACAGGTAAGCTTCAGTTAATTCTTTTTATTTTAAGAGATTTTAGCAGGGACAACGCAGTGATTTTTGCCTTTCAGAAAGAAGTCTCCTAGAGGAAATCTGTCGATAAAAGATTAAAGATTGTTCATATCGCTTTTAAAATTCTCTCTTGCCAGTGCTGTTACGTCATTGTTAATTTTTTCCCCCATTTTGTGTCAAACTCCGGGACAACTTTGTTTCTTTATAATTATCTGGCGTTGTTATGATGCAGAGGGATGGAAATGTATTTAGTGGGAAAAGAGATTTAATTTTTTTTTTTTCTCTTTGCTGAGGGGACTGATTGTGTTAGCTTGGCAGCAGTTCCTTGCAGTGAAACTCCTGCAGTTTGAAGTGGGCAGTGAGAATCGGCATTGCAAGGCAAAGTTTAGGGGGAAAAAAAAATAAATAAAAAATAATACAGAATAATGGTTTGGGGGGGCTGAAGCTCCTAGATTTTTTTCTCGTGAGTTGAAGGGTTACACTTCATGGGGCCAAGAATAATTGAATGTCTTATTACTGAGTGACACACATTGCTATAATTATAAGCAGCAGCAGCGAAAGAACTATTATATCTGCAGCGAGAGAATCAATGTGCACCGTCAATACCGCTCCAAAGGAGTCGGGGGGAGGGCGGAGGTGTCTCCGAGGGGATGAGAAAGAACAGGCAGTGTCAGTCAGGAGGGGAAGTTGGCTTCAGAAAATGCGAGGCATTTGTGCATTTCTTGTTTGCAGGGGAAAAAATAATTAGAACTTAACAGGAATATTTGCATATCTCCCCCCCACCCCCTCTTTTTTTTTTTTTTTTTTTTTTTTAATTCTTATCTCTGCAAGGCACAAACTGCCTGATACTGGAAATCCTGAGTGGTGATTTTAGCTATGTGCTTGTAATGCAAGAAAATCAAATATGTGACTCTTTTATTTAATCTCTCCTCAAAGCTCATATTAATAATAAAAAAGGTTATTACAGCAGGCAACCATGTTAAAACTGCTCGCTTTTCTGTAAGGCACCCTTACTGTATCTAATGCAGAGACTACTCATCAAATAGGAAACTAGGGGAAATCCTGTAAACCCCTTAACTTTGAATGTCCTCCTCCTACATTTGCACGATCCACAAGCATAATCTTTAACATCATTTCCCATAATATTAAACTTGATGTTTTGTAGCAAATGTTAATGTCTCCAAAATGTTGTACTAACCCTGCTGTAATCCTTGCAGTTTTCTTCACCCAGACTGTAAATGAGAAAGCTGGAAGTGAGATCAATTTTTGCCCAGCATCACCCAGCAATTCACACTCGGATGCAGATTTAGAAGTCGGGAGTTGTTGGCTACCAGGCCTTTGCTTAGTCTGCTAAATCTGCAGCCCTCCCTGCTGGGAATACATCTCGTGGCACCGAGATTTTACAGGTGTCTAGCAACACTGCGTGATATTTAAGTGCCGTAATTGCCAAGTGGAATAGGTTATTTCTGCCAGCCTTTGTTCTAAATTCTCAGTGTTGTCATCAATCAGACCGTCTCAGTTTTTCTAATTAATGTTTTTACTTTAAAGTTGCCTTGGGGGAAGGGAAGAAATAAAATCCCTGGCATACAGGCACTCTGTATGTGCGGGGGGGGGAGGACAGACACGCAGCACTCTTTTTTTTCTTTTTTTTTTTTTTTTTTTTTTTTTTTAAAATTCTTCTTATGTTTCTGTGCAACTTCTAAGACTGCTTCTGTTGCACGTTGTCACGCTGCTTTTCTGTTTTGCAGCGCATTGCAGCTCCCTGCTTATTGATTAGGATGCTAATTTAGGAGAGTTAGAAAACTGCCTTGCACTGTCACGGTGCTGTTTCGTTTCGTACTCTGGAATATGAAATGCATCTTTCTTTATTGTTTGTTCTTATCCAAAGCTTGCCTGTGTGCTTTGCTTTCAAGGCGAGGTGGTAGAGGGAACAGGGACGAACAAGAGCTATCCCTTACAATTTCTAGTTTTCTGGGTACTTTTTGTTGGTGTGTGAGGAGGGGAAACGTTGTGATGAAACTGTAAATGGTGTGAGTCGCCACCGACTGCTGGCTTTGCTGTGAGGCAGCTGAGTTTTAATGCAGGTTTTGGTGCCTGGAGGGTATTTGAGGAAGGTGCTTTACCTTGGTGTAGTTCCGCGCGTCATCGCTGCACTGTGGCATAAACTGAAAAAGAAGATCCTGAGAGTGGGAAAATGCTTTACTTTGAGGTAATACTTCGCAATGATTGCATAGGGTTAGCAAACGTGACATGGGAGAACGTAGCACCAGCAG